ACCAGGATGGTTTCTCATCAGCAACCCTAACAGCTTTTACCTCCTTAGAGCATTCACGAAACTCCAGCTTGCATTTACTTCCAACATTTCAATTCTTTGAATATATTTTCCCCAATTACACTTGCCGATGTAGGATTAGAAAGGAAGAATTTTTTCTCCTAGCCTGGGACACAAGGACCACTGACGCAGTAAAGGCAGCAGTTGCAGGATAACATGGTATGTGATAGCAATAAAGATAAACGTTTCAGAACTACATATTTTACTGACAGACTACTGCAATTTTCTCTCGCCTACATGTGAAGATTAATTGCTTACAGCAAGTTACATTTCTCCTACATTCACCAGTAATGTGAATTACTGATAATTAATTACAGTACGTACCAGTACCAGGTACTTATCTTCCCTACATTTTCTAGTACATTTCCCAATTTGTTCATTTGCCCAAAGTACAGCATTCCATAAGCAGAGCAATCACAACTTGCCCAAGCTTAAATCACAACCCTAAAGAGACAACATACAATCTTCAAACGTTCTTTGCACAAAAAATTATTTATCTGTCCAAAATCCTTTCTGAAGCTGGATCCCATTACAATGACAATCGCCCACACTGCTAAGAAAGTATTTGCAACATGCTCTTCTCCCATGACACTTCATTCCTAAAGATCATTGTGGCTCCTTTCAAATTAAAGATCTGTTAAACTATTTGGACTAAAATTAGGAATCTGTGTCTACAAATCTAGCACCTCTTTAAAGCTAGACAGAAATAACTTTTGAATGAAATGTCGGCATTAAGTATTTTAAAGCATAAACGTTTTCTTAGGCCTGTTACAAAAAATGTTAGATAAAAAGGCATGAACAACAACAGCTTAATCCAGCCCATGCATCACACCCCCCTTCTGGAATGGGCATGACTCCACTAATTACAACCTCGAAGAAATTATCATTATGGGAACAGACAGGTACCCCAGGCAGTACCAAGACACTTCATCCGAATGCATGCTCCTCCCGCCAGCCCGTGCCTTGGTGGCCCCCTTCCATCGACCTACCCCACGGGGAGCGGCGGCGCTGGAGTGACTGAGGCGTTGAATAATCTCCACTGTCAACGTAGGACGCGACAGAATGAGCAGACTCCCCGGACGGTGTTAACAAACCCGCTAAGGAGACAAATGCCTTCAGCTGCACTTTCACACTCTGGAATTGGTTTCAGTATAAAACAAAATCTCACTTGTAAAAAGCCTAATCTGTAAAAGGAGTACTGATGCTTAACCTTAGAGCGCTGAATTCTCACATTCCTCTTGACAAATAGTGGAAGCCTCTGTCCTGCGTGTACGGCTTTTCCCCCCACTCTATCGTTTCTGGAACATTCAAAACACTCCAGGCAGCACTTTCAAATAAACCAGCTCCATTATAAAAAAAGACATTTTACCTGTTCAATTGGCCAGAGAACACACACCTTACAAAAAACGCACTGATTTTTCACACATGCAGCAAAGAATACTGAATATTCATTCACTTCTTTTTAGGGGTCTGAAATTTATTGGAGTAATTGAAGTGGGTGAAGGTTTTGATTTGCGAGCAGACCATGGCCTTCGTCTAAAATGCTGTACAACACATGACAGCCTCAAGCAAAACATCTGATACAACCCCCCTTGAACTACCACTTCCCCATATTATTTTTAAATTTTAGAGGACTTCTAAAGTTTATATAGAAACAAACATTAAATTCCCTTCATCATCCTCTGTTCTACTACTGACAAATGCTCAGTATTTCACCAGTTTATTCCAAAGCCCAGTCCATACTTTATCTGAGGTTACTGTGAGGAAGAAGTGGGAATGATGACCCCTGAGTCTTTGTCTGCTACCCAAACCTCTCATGAGCTTGTCCCAGGAACATATGAAGCAAAGGCAACCATGGTAGGCTTCACCATATAGACTTCTGTGAATTTCTTTCAGTTGCTAACAATTTAGCTGAAGCAACCTTTTTTCACATGGATTTCTGTAAGATGATGGAAAACTACTGATACCAGTAGCAAAGTCCTAATTTGGAGTCCTAATCATCAATAGCGAGGCCTCAGCTGCCACGGCAGGTCTTCAGCCTGTGAGCAGATCACCTTGCCTATTTAGCGCTGCACCTCTTGTAGCTGTGATTGCTCCTGCTCCTCCTGGCAAGAAGATGTTAGAAACAGCTGCTACTCCTTCTTCTGCTGCTTTCCCTCAGTGGGAGGAAGGCAGAGAGGGTTGCCAGAAATGTAATGGCTTAGCTGGAGACAGCTATTTTTACACGAAAGCACAGCCATGCAGCCCAGTCTTGCAAGCTGCTACTGCTTGCACATACGGAAATATAGATGAACACTAATCCTTGTAGGGTAAGGACCCGGGGTACTGCCTTTCACATCATGAACCACCTTGGAGGTAAATAACACTTTATGCACTTTGATTTCATTCAGCTGCAATACAAAAGAAGACCTAATTGGTCTCTATTCCCAAGTAACAAGTGATAGGACGAGATGAAATGTCCTCAAGTTGCGCCAGGGGCAGTTTAGATCGGATATTAGGAAAAATTTCTTCACCAAAAGGGTTGTCAAGCATTGGAACAGGCTGCCCAGGGAAGTGGTGGAGTCACCATCTCTGGAGGTATTTAAAAGATGTGTAGACGTGGCACTTAGGGACATGGTTTAGTGGTGGACTTGGCAGTGTTAGGTTTATGGTTGGACTCAATGACCTTAAAGGTCTCTTCCAACCTAAATGATTCTATGATTATAATCCAATCACTAATGAGGTCCAGAGGTGTATTTTCACTATCGACAGCAAGTTACATCAAGTCCAAACAAGCAGATACCTGGAACTAAGGATGCAGCTCTACAGTCACTTTAAGCCCATATCATCATTTTTTGAGCTGTCATCAGAAGAAAGTCTTGCCCTCTACTTTGTGCTGCGTTTCCACTCGTATGAGGCAGATCAGGTAGCAGATCTGACTGAAAATTCACTTGGTTTTTCTTCTGGCTGAGTTAGTTTTAATCTGGAGCACTTTTCTAGTGTCACCTACTGTGTAGCTGTATAAAAACGTACGTCAGGAAAGAGGAGGTGGTGAAGGAGAGAGGGCAGGGGCCCTTTCAGCAACAGTTTGCCTTCTGTTGCTCTGAAAGAGTTTTTACAGTAGTTACTCAAAACTGCCCAGACTGAAAAATGACATCCAACCCAAAGCACAACAGAAAACACAATCTGTTAGGACATACATGGTACCAGTACAAACCCCTCTGAAGTCTTTGAGAGCACTTTGAGAGATACAAAAGACCATTGCTCCTCAACTGCAACAACTGTAAGTAAAACTGAACACAATTTTGAAATTGTGTTTTTCCTTGTACAAAAAAAATTCTCCTGATTTCCTAGAGAATGTAGCATGATTTTCAACTGTCATGATTGCTTTATTACACTACAGTCACGTAATAAGATTTACAGTCATCCCAATGATGGTCCAGTATTTTCTCGATATAAAAGAAACTCTTCCAGAATACCATCTGGATCATTCTCCTGCCTACACAAAAACACCTACACAAAAAAGTCTGTCACACTGCACTATGTTTATTTCTTATTGTGCCTCAAATAAAGTCGAAATTCACTTTCTTGTGCCTGTTACAGCATTGAAAATCAACCAGTGTCCCATCACAGGAATCAACTGAACGAGCATGAAACCTGTCTCAATAGCATCCACTTCTCTTGCATATTACAATACCATCCAATTGAACCAAAACCTATTGTCATCAGTGGATGACATTTTGAAATAAAACTTGAATGGAGGACTTGTTGCTGTGCCATTCACCAAAGGACTTCCCTGCGGCACTATGCCTTCCCTAAAAAATGTCATTGTTAATGGAATTAATTTGTTACAGAGGATGAATAGGTTTACATGTCAGGTCAGTTACTCAAGCAATTATTATTACTGAGAAATCCAAACCAGTACAAAATCAGCCAATGCAGATATGTGAACCCAACAGATAATTATGCTAGAAATGTCCTAGAGTGATGAGGATACACGCAAAAAAGCTGATCTCTTTTCATGCTCAATATTACTATACGACAGTAAATTCACTCCCTGCTTCCCAAATACAAACCAGCTCTAGCTCCCAACTAGCTAGCCAGCTCACTGAACACTAAAATCATCAGTCACACTGCAGAAGTACGCTTACAAATGTCAGTAAGTTAATTCAGCACAAACACTGGACTCAAAAAAAAAGTTCTGTTTGACAGTTCTTACTGCCTTACCACCTGGGAAATGAAAATATCCACATGTCACTGCTTACAAGACTGTTTCTCATATGTAAAAGAATTTCTAACTTTACATCTTCGGATGGCTGCTAACTGCATGAAACTCTCAATTTATCACCATATAAATAAGTCCTAGTCCATGCAGTGCTATGAGATACGGGCGCGTGAGAGAAGGAGATCAAGGAAAGCCCACTTCAAATGAGAAGAGCGAGAAGAAAGGGAGGCAAACACATTAATATCCCAATTTCAGACCCACGAGAAGAAAGGGAAGAAAACACACAATATCCCAATTTGAGACCCATCCACCAAAGACTTGGCAGAAAAGAGGAGCTTTGGACTGTGAATGGAAAGATAACAAACTTGAGCTGTGGTGAAGGGTCAGTGGGAACCAGTTTCATAATCTTACTGTGGAATATGCTTGAGTATGCTCGGACAAAGAAACACAACTTGTGAACAATTTTAGGTGCAGTTCCTAAGTTAGACGGTGTATATCTATATTTACACAGTGAAAACATTTGCATTTGGTACTTATTAGAAGGCTTTCTTCATAAGCTCCAGTCAAATATTAGTTTGGAGCCAAGATCACATTAACAGGATAGAAACTTTTCAGTGGGATAGTAATACTTAATGAAGTATAGAAAAACAGGAACAGGTCTTTAGACAAAACACTTTTTTCTCTCAGATTTGATAGAAAGACCGGTATTAATTGCCAAAATTTTAAACTGAATACTTACCTTTTCAACCGGGGTATTTTCTTCACTCGTTACACTCGCTTTTCTTGATTCGTTTTTTGTTCTGCTCAGCCTCCGGGACACTTTTTCTCTAAGCAAAGTGGCATATCCAATGTGTTCATAGATGGGGTTTGTTGTCATTTTGGAAATATACTCAGAAGCCTTTGTTTCTATATACAATGTAATCAAGCCATCTGTAACCAGATCATGGATTGATTCGAATCTTTTCTCTCCAACAAAGTGCTTTCCATCATAGAACAATCTGTAGTTTAAGGTCTGATTACCAAATCTGCAAATACCAGAAAAAAAGGAGGGAGAGAAGAAAGAGAGAGATGGAAGAGTGAGAGAAAGAATTCATACTGGCAAAACACTCAGGAGGTAATTTCAGTGACGAGTCTGTATGTCTAGATTACATATGGAATATGCACGTGGCTGCAACTGGATCTTTGTGGAGAGACCAACTCAAGTTCAAACCCAAACTTAACTGCATCACATGGACTGGGCTACAGAACCAAGGCCAAGTCTCCACAACAAGCTATGTGACCCAGACGTACATGGTTTAAATCTAAATCCTAAAGGGACTACCACAGCGATCGGAAAGGCATGTTTGCATTGACAAGATCTTACGCTGGGATGCATAATTGTGTTAAGGGCTCTTCCATCCCCAAACATTTCTGAGATGCAGAAAGCGGATGCTTAACCACCATGGGCATATTTACAGTCAATGAAGAGAGATGGGCATCTCTAGCAAGTAATTCAAATCCTAAGGGTCTGAATCACGCAGCAATCCAGGGAGACCAAGCTCCTAATAGAGGGGCCCAATTAAACACCCAAAGTTCTGTGGGATAAATCTGGCCCTATTTATGGCAGGTGTAATCTATGGGGGTTTTTTAAAGTGTTTTAAAAAGCAAAGTGCTGTAGCAGTACATTCAGTTTATAACGCCGAGGTTGGAATCCCATTCTTGATTAAAGGATTCACAGATATGACATTGGGTTAAATGGTCCTTACATTGCATCAAATATGCATGTCTCTGCATGCTTTGTTGAGCATTCAAATCAAACTGTTTAAGTCTCTTATTTTTTCGCCCACATTTTTCATGTGACTTCCCAATTTATAATCAAATTCAGTTTTTGATTCTACAAATAATTATCCAGATGGATTAAGAAATCATGCTGTTGAATCAAAACAACAGACACTTTACCATAATCCCCATCCGTTAGTAGTTCTTTTTATTCTTTATTTTGAAATGTCTCTCCAAAACCCTAAAAAATTACATTTGTTCTTTTTCAGCTGACAAAAGTTGCTTTTAATTTACAGCACTTTTTAGTTGGCATGACTCACCAGCTTTTCCAGCTCTACCATCTGCACATCAATACAAATTCTGAGGATGATTTCAGCACCGTATCACAGCTACTTGGGGTAACTCCTTAAAGGATTTTTCCTTCTGGCTTACCAGCAGAAGGGTAAAAATGCACACTTTTATTTTATGTGTATCTCACAGAAGTAGTAATGCTATAAAAATGGCAAAATATTGCCAAGGAGTTTGTTTTATCAAAACCAAACAGAATATCTTGTCCTCTTGCCGCTAACCCACAGCAGCTTTAAGACTGTTGCGTGGGCAGGTTTTGAATGGCACAGCTAAGCCAGGAGCGGCCGTATTTGCAAGGAAGGGCACTTGTGAGGGGCAGCGAGGTTGTAGCTTGGGCTCCCACTGAATTTTTCATCCAGTTGAATAGCAGGCTCTTACTTCTTTGAGCAGCAGCAGCATCCCACGCTTCACACTGTATTTCTACAGCAAGCTTGAATTCCAGTTAGGGAAGAAAACCGAAGTCCAGTATGCTGCCTTTGACAGCTGGTCAGCCACTGGACTTCATGATTTTCCAGGTTCATCCAGGGTTGTTATCGCCGATGATTGCCGATGTTTGTGTACAACACATCACTGAGCTCAGAGGACAACCTGGCTGTGTCCTCTGGTGGGACACTCCCCTGTTCTGTACTCACTCACATCTCTTACAGAGTTTTCAAGGAGAAGCTCCATCTTTACAACACTCAACTCTAGGTAGCAAAAATTTTGAAAACGGGCACAGTCTGCTTCTGAAAAGGGACTTCCTAGCCAAGTGCTGAAGGAGTGACTGAATTGCTGCAGTACTGTGATGGTCAAACTGCTGACAAGAGGGTGTAAAAATCACTCTGACACCATGAAGTCTGTTAAGTAACGGTGAACATAGACTTCACTCAAAAGGGACTGATGTAATCCCCTCCATTAAACACATTTACATTTGAACTATAAGCCTCTATTCAAACAGCATTTACCTGAGAGCAAGAGTATAGCAGCCGGGTTGCCGCTGGCTTTCTCTAAGAATATATGCTCCTTCTACGCCAGCAAGTATTTCATCTGCTTGCTCCCGAGAAATGATCCCATGAAACCTAAGGGAAGACATTTCAGTGACTTACAGAACAATCCGACCAGAAACACCTCCTCCTCCACCTCAGAAACCATTTGAAAACTTCTGCACTGCAGAGCATCGTGATCTAAGCCATCACGACAGCATCCAAGCATCTAAAAGTGGCAGGACAGTCAACCCAGCCTGGGCAAGTCCAGCATAGAGGCAAAACATAAATTACACTGTATATGCAGTTTCACTCAGTATAGCGCTCAACCACACCCAAAGATTATTTTCTGTAAATGCCCATCTTTTCACAATTTTTCTCCTCTACCAGTCTATGCCCCTCTTCCTTGTTTCCTTTCTAGAGGCCTTAAAACAGAATTGAAAACTAGGCACAAAGGCATTACTTTTTTTAAATGGAGATGACTTAAAATTAAAATGAGAGGTCATTCTTATTATCAGTTTGCTTTATTTTCATATTAACATTGCTTCCTCGAATTTGTAAGGTAAACTGACACAAAGAATGGCAACAATTGTTCAAAATTCTATTCTGCATATATTAATGTAGAAGATACAGAGTAGCCTTGAGAAAAATACTGTTTTCTTTATTTCAATGAGTTCCTCATTCAGTGTTGGAAAAAAGCAATATTTCTCTGATTCTTTTGTCATTGCTATTTTAAGAAAGAAAGAGGCCTTAGGATGCACAATTAATCTTGTGATAATCAATATTTAGCAGTGACCTTTCCGTAAGTACAAATGCAGTCTTTACAGCAGTTTGAGTCTTAACACCTAAGCACATTTTGCTAGCTGATAAGTCTCCAAGGGTCTCCTCAGAGGTTTTGAAAGTTTCTATTTTTGCTGCTGTCTGAAAAAAGGCACTAAAATGTACTGGACTTCAGCATTTTCTCTTTTCTGACAATACATATGAAGTGGCACATTTCTAACACTGCCTCTGGCTCAGTAATGAAAGAGAAGAAAAACACATTGGATGTAAATGCAACTGTTGTTCCGTTCTCTTTATGTTGTCTTTTCACAACTAATACATACTGGAAATATTAGGTTTAGGTGATCTTTCCAGAGTGACTTTCTATTCAAAATGATGTAAATTGATTCATACTTTCCATCTGTACTGGTGGGGGACACGCTCATTTACTGCCACATCCAAATTGAAACGAGCATCTCCTAGATGACATAATTTAAGCATGTCTTTACCAGTAAACTCACGGCAATTCGTAACTCTAGTTAAAAATAATAAGCATAAGCTATTTGCCACCAGAAGCTCATTATAAAATACAGCAGGCTTTAGGTTAGATATTAGGAAAAAAGCTCTCCTGGTGATCAATTTAAGAAATCACTGGGACAGGATACTTGAGGCACCTGTGAAATATCTTTAAGCGTGGGTGGTAAGCACTGGGTAATCAAACCTTTCTCATGGATATTTTTGGCACATTTTTATAAGGGCATAAAACCAGCTTGTACACGGTACAAGATCCTCTGAACTCAGATGGCTGCTTCTGACAGCAGCCGAGAAGAAATGCTTACGGAAGGAGTACAGGAAGCAGTGACATATTTCTTTCACTTCACATCCCTGTCCGTCCACCGTTGCTTTAGCCAGAAGTTGTGTCCGATCAGCTGTGACCTTACCCTTCATGAATCTGAGAATCTCACTTGTAAACCCTTTAATATCTTTATGGTTTTGGCCTCTGCAGCACCCTGTGGCAATGAACTTGAGAGGGACACTGTGCATGTCCCTCTCCTGGACGCCCACTGAGGAAGACCTGTTTGTTCTCCTCCTATTGTAGGAGCTGCATCCCTTTGCTCCACCGTTGTTGCACTTTGCTGTACCTTTCATTTCTTCTATGACCTTTCAAAAAAGGAGGGATGAGGAAGGGGTAGAAAGGGACCAGAACTACATGCAGTATTTAAAGTGCACCCACATCATAGATTTATATAGTAATATAATTTTTCCCTAGAAAGCCCTGATTCTCTTTCCAAGCACTACTGAGCACTGAGTCAATTGCTTTTATAGGACTGTGCCAGTGGTTCTGAAATCTTCTTTCTGAATGATAATAACTAATGAGATCTTGCCTGGGCGGGTTCACCCAGGTGACTTCTTACAGTTCCTGCCAGCCCCATCACTCCACAAACCCAGAGTATGTCAACAGCCAGGCAGGTTCCTGGATAAGAGATTGCAGTAATGGTTTTACAAGTCCTACTGTAGAAAGCGTGACGGGTGACTCGGGTAGGTACTGTATTTGGCTCTGTTGTACTCTAGTGCCTGGATCTGAATTCCCTGTTGTCAAAGATAACACTTAAAAAATGAAACTTCAGTAATCAAGGGCAAAGCTACTGGCTCTTGAGGTTTTTGATGGTAGAAAAAGATCATTAAATACAGATTATATGTTTGGGATGGAAGAAAAAATAAAACATGGGATCTAAGTAATTTAGCTAGCGGTAAGGGCTAGGTCCTCAGCAGATTACTCTAGTAAAGGCCAAATGCCAGATCTGGGTGGTTGCTGCAGTGGCTGCGCCCTTCAACTTCACCTGCCCCAATCTCCACGCCAATGCAAGATCCAGCCCCTTTCAAGTTCATTATTGGCAAGAAGACTGCTGAGCACAAAGGAATTATACCCTAGTGGTCCGTTATTTTCCTCACAACAAAAATACACCTCTTCTTTGGGTATTTCAGACCTCGTAACTTTAGCAGGGAGAACAGCATTTGCACATGCAGTAGTATACACGCATACTTCCACAACCATGTAGGGTGGTGAAAGTATAGGAACATATACAAAAAGGCAGTAAGAGAGGCAAGCTGCTTCTCTCCTCCCCAGGCCGTTGCAGGACCACTGGGAGGTTAAAGCGACAACCAAAATAAAAGGAAGAAATACTCCAGACAAAACTTTTTTCCCAAACTGTCCCAAGAAAAGCAAAATAAACATGCAGGCTCACACAGCAGCACAGTCCGTGGATTGTGAGTAGCAGTATACTGGACTGTAACATAGCTAAACTATTAGGCTTTCAATATATTTAGCTCCCAGTTGAAATGAAAAGTAAAATAAAATATTTTATCAGACCTCCATTGTGGTTTTTTTTTTTTCATTCTAGAACAACTACTTTTGGATACACCCAACAGGTACTTAAAAGAGGAAAATACTTACTCTCTTCCATAATACTTTGGTCTGTTCTCCACCTAAATTTCGAAAGAAAGGAAAAAAAACATTAAAAACATACTCAATTTTAGATAAACTAAATAAAAATAAATTATGCTTGATTATTAATGGGGACTACTGCACCCATCTAAGTGATGAAATTCTGCAGATTCAAAACTGTGACTGGAACATGACTACACAGAAGAACAGAAAAATGAAAACAGAAGAAGTGGTTTTATTGATGGATTTCTGGGAGGAATAACAGATATTAATGGTGAAAAGAATAGACATAATTGCTTAAAAAATACATGTAATTGTATAAAATCTGATCAAATGGATAAAGAATAGTTTGCTGCTGTTTTGCCAATCTACTATTTATACTATAAAATAAGACTATTTTTGTTATACACTCTTTAGCTTCTTAAAAACATTTTTTGCCTATATACGGCAACTAACTGAAGATAAAAAAAATTAATATTCTTGGGAGAAACAAGGTTTCTGGATTTAGATCTAGTCTTAAATTCCTTGAAGTCTCAAGACCTCGCGGGCCTGATCCAAAGTACACTGAAAGTTGCTGGAAGGACTCCCAATTATTTTAAAGAGCTCTGAACCGAGTTTTAGGAATGTCGTGTTCTTATCCAGAAACTCGAGATACGTCTGGCACTTTGACTCGTTTCTCAGACCCCAATCTTTTGGCAAGTTGGCAGAGAGGAAGCTCCCCAGCCCCCGATTTCATCTCCCAGGCCGGGGGCAGGCGGTGCCAGCAGGGGGCACGGCTCCCCCGGCTTTCGCACCGGGGCTGGCCCAGGGCTACCTTACCGTGCACGCTGACTTGTTCCGTTATTACATATCCAACTATTACACGTGAATTTTCGAATTTTAAGATGTATTCACATATATGCATTCGTTTAAGTGTCTTTACAAAGGGATGCTCTCTCTCCAGCTATGGCGCTTATCAATAGTGTCATCTTACCAGCCAGCATTTTCATGAATAAGCATGACAGAACTTAATACAAGACACACAAAAAGTCTCCTGATTATTAAAAAAAAAAAAATCTGAGCGAGTGCATACCTGAGTAAAGCTGCCCGTATCAAAGGAATTAGTGCTTCATACATAGCGACACACACGTAAAAAAATTGTGGTTTCAAGACTGTTTCACCCTTTAGGATCCTTTAGGAAAACAGGACTGTTTTCATCATTTTATCTGACTGGAAACAAGGACCTTTGTTCTTGTTTTGATTATACCTCATTATTTCACTCATAAAAACTTTAAATTGATGAAGGTTTTTCATTTCTGAATAGTAAATGCATAAATGTGACATTTTTGATTCAATAATCTACACACCACACACTAAACCGAAGGAGCTGACTTTCTACCCTGCAGTCGCTAAGGCTACAATACAGCGCAAGATGAACGAAAGTCTCTACAAGATAATGAGAATCTTCAATGGAAGACCTATGGGAGTTCAATCAAGTCCTTACCGCACTTCTTTCCCAGCTCGGCATTTCTTTTCTAGCACAGCATTAACAATAGCAGTATCATACCCTTGAAACTCCTGCCCAGGAATAATACCTTGATGCAAACATTTTTGAGCTCTGAGGGGCAGGAATAAGAGGAAAAAGCAAACACAGAAGTGAAGAGAGAGCAAAATCAGAGGAATTGCCAAGTGCAGGAGCTGTGTTTCTATGCGCATATATGGTAACTCAGAGAAGAAAGTGTATGAATTCAATTTTTTTTAACTTTATATATCATAAGTAAACAAAAAATCAAGAAAAAGCCATATTACCTCAGAAAGGAGGTTGTTCATATGTTCATCTAGCACTACATAACTGTATTATCTTGGAACGGTGCTGCCTTCTTGTCATCCTTATAGACCTTAATGACCCCCCAAAGCACATATTTAGCAGAGAACTTAATTAAAAAATAGGTATCAGAAGCTGGGTTAGGTGAGATCACCACATGCAATCTTCTCTTTCATGGAAACAAAGGCCACTCAGTACATAAAAATAGTGGCAAGGAACAAACAGATAAACTTTCATTCCCACAGAAAGCCAAATAAAACCTTTATACCACAGAAGGTAAAGCATGACTTTCACCTAGGATTCAGAATTTGCTTCTTTTTAAAAATATAGATTTGCCTTGATTGTATGTACACACAGAATAAAACCGAAAACTCTCCATCTACTTCAGAAAGATAAAAGTACTAGCAAAAGTACTAGCACTAGTACTAGTAAAAGTACTAGCACTCACCCTCAAAATTACACAAGTAAGCACAAGTCCTCCCACAAATATAACTATATATAAAAAGTATAAAAGCAATCTGGAAATAACTCCTTGAGCAAATGGAGGCACATTTTGTATCCCTCTCACAACACCATTTATGCAAAAATACAAATTTATCTGTGAAATTTTTATCATTTAACCAGCAACTGAATGAACTGCCCTGGACACTGCGGTTTCCATTTCTCCTACTGTTCATGAGCTAAAAGATTTGTTCTTCTGAGAATCCACACAAAGATCATCAAATCCTATATTCTTCCCCCTCCTCCATTAAACAGAAACTTTCACTCCAACATCTTTTAGCATCCATGTGTCTAAAATGGTCACAACTTCAGCACTTGGCTTTCGGCAAGAAAGATATTGTAGTATTCTCTGAATTGAAGCGCCAGATCTGCCAGACCATCCAGGTGCCCCAGAATCTAAAAATCCTCTTCTGTGCTCACCGCAACCTTCAGCCTGAAATAACCATTTTGCTGCTAACCAACTTCACTGCTAGGAACAAACACAAGGAAACAAAGTTACAGCAAGATAAAAGATGAAAATAACATCAGGGTCTCTAGATCAAAACTCGAATGTTGGACTGAACTTGGAAATAAACTGAAAGCCTGCACGATTGATGGAGCAGAGGCTTAAAAGTATCAAAGGAGTCAGAAGGTCTGTTTTGCACCAACCACAGACTCTGTACAAACTTCAAGGGAAATTCTATATATCCCAGAAGGCAAAGGTGACCGAAATTCAGTTGGGATTAGCTTTCCCGCTCCTGCTATAAATGGGCTTGCACACACAAAGTCAGGCAGATCTGCTTAAGAGAATTCTTAGTGGTGGAAAGAACAGAAAATCCGCAGGTACAAAAGTGACTGTTTCCTGGTGGAAGGAGCCCAGAATAATCAGCCTTATTCTGAGGACACATACACTCAGGTTTTTTTCATAGGTAATGGCTACAAAGAACACTTTCATCACTTTCTGTATAGCCCTCACAGTTTCCTTGTTGAAATAAGGGCCACCTTTCCCAGGTGACCAGTTGGTTTTATCCATCACTCTGCCCCATCTCCCTAGACATTGAGCAAGGGGAGAGATCAGAGGGTTTGAATCATTTAGGACTTTAATGCTAATAGACAAAAACCAAGTACAAAACTGAGGAAAATTACGTAAGGTAAACGATAGGTCTTCAGTAGTGAAAATATATTTTGCCTTAAAGAGCTCCACAGTTTGCTCTTACTTCTCCCATACAGAGGATAAATTAAATGGGTTCTCCTTCTCCACTAAAAGTAAGTGGGGGCTTTCAATTCAAATGTGAGATAGTAATTTTCTGGCTTAGAAAAAGGTATTATTGCCAATCTCAAACCAAAAATGTTGTTGCAGAGCAGGCATTTCTGGCCGTTGTTCCAGAAACCATGGGGAAAATGCTGAAAATTACTACTGGAATTCATAGTTGTATAAATTACGAATCGGCAGTGAATGCCAAAATTGTTTAAAACTAAAGTCAAGTTGATCAGGAAATAAGATGTATGGTGAAACAGCCTAAATCACTACTAATCCAGCACTCTTACAAAGCCAGCAACATTCAATGACATCTCATCTTGAAGCATGCTCAAAGAGAAATGAAACCCAGCACAGCTCTCCTGGCACTCTCCAATGGCCTTTGGAAGCTCATGTTTGAGAGACTCTGCATACTCCAGCCTTGACTCCCAGCCTGCCAAACCTGATTGCCTCTCCCCACCCCAAAAAAAACCCTGACTTGTACACTTAGTCTAGTTTTACAAGTTTTTTTTACAATGTTACAGCATATTCTTCAAGGTGTGGAGTTAGTTGTACTGGGGTTTGAAGTCAACACGGAGAAGGAAATAAGCCTTCTTCAAAAAAATACACTAGCTATCTAAGCTAATTCAATATATTACGTTTACATAATTTTGAAGTTTACTGAATTTTAATGTCCTGGGATTTGTGGCTCCTCTTTTGGCCAGGATGGTTTAGCCCTGGCATGACATACTCCTGCTAATGTACAGATTATTGTATTAAAACCCTACACCACTCTGCAAGATAACTCATCACAAAACTACTGGGAATCATGCAGGCAGGAGGTGAGCATCCCCTAATGTGATAGATTTTCATTGCAAGCATTGACATCCAAGCCACACTGCACTGAAGATTTGAAGATACCCTGAAGAATTCTTTCTGCATAAGAACTACCACAGAAATAAGATAACCCTAATTTCAGAAAAATTTAATTTCTCTTCAGCTTCATTGCACAAGACATATTTCCTTATCCAGTGGCCAAAGCTGAAATCTAGAAATGTTGGAATGAAAATTTAGAAATCCCTCTAGGACAGTAATCTGTCTGTAATTCAGAAGGGCCAGCACAGCATAACATTTTATATCTACCTATTTCAACAACTGCCTTAATACTAATACATCCATGAAGACAATATAAAAGGGGAAGGGAAACAATAAGGTGGGTAGCTGCACTTCGCTCTCTGTTCTTCTCTCTAGTACACAGAAAGAGCAGAGAAACAAAATTCAAGAGTTAATAACGTCTGTGCGTTCACTCAGAGCAGGCAGTAAGGCGTTTTCCCAAAGGAAGTTTAATCTGATATATTTTCTGTTTGGAACAATCCTAATTATTTTTCAATAATTCCAGTTGACTAGATATAAATATGTTTTTCAGCTCAGTTTGACATAAAGAGAAATAGAAGAGTTGGAAGAGAAGCTTTCAAGACAAGCCCAGTAAAAACAGACTGTACAGAAAAGTAGTTTATTGT